AGACCCAGATTTGCTCAGCTTCAGCCTTGTGTGCCTTCAGACCACACTCAAAGAAGTACTGTATGCACATCCAGCATTTTATGTGATCAAGCAGATCTGTAAGCTTCTCCCTGATGTCGAATTTGAAAATATGTTGTTGCCTCCTGCAAATATAGCCTTAAAGATTTTAAAAAATAGACACTCACTTTGTCATCTAGAGAGGCAAATACCAATGTCAAAACCAAGCTCAACGGTCCAGTTCATATGCATTGGGGCTGTTCCCACAAACCATGGTTTATTTGAGCACAGTTGAGTGACAAGCTCAAGTGGTCCTTCTCCCACATCCATTTCCTTCCTCTAGTGGAGACTTCCTGATTTCTTCAGCTGGTTGCTTGTCAAGTCCAAAACTGGTTTAACATCTCTCTACAAACCAAACTGAAACAAAACAGTCACTTGTTTTAATTAAGGACTGTGCCAAAGCACCATGGTTGCTTATTAAATTTCCTAAAAGTATCTCATTCTTCCCATTTATTTATTTTTTAAAGCAATTTCATAATTTTAGTCCAGGAGATATCAGGATATTGAGGACTCTGGCAGGAAGCAGGCATTTTGGAGACTTTGAGCATTGAGCTTTGATGCCCTCGGATAGCCACAATTAATCCCTATGACAGTAATTTAATAGAATATGTTTATGTTGTAGGAGTCAGGCTGCACGTTTTATAGCAGAGATGTGAAGAAGGTGGTCCTGCCTGGAATGTGCAGATCAAGTCATCAGACTTGATAGCCCTTCAATGGAAGATGATGACATGGCCGTCAATCCCCAAGTATCTCCCCACCGCCACACACAAAAAGCCTAGTCAGGAGGTCTCAATTCATATTTGGCCTTATGACAGAGGTTTGTTAGACTTCTGAGAGACACAAAACACCCAGAATGACCACTATATAGTTTTCAAGTTTTTCGTGTAAATGTAGCTGTCATGCTCTTTGGACCTTTTGGGCACATAGCCTCAGTGCCTCACATCAACTGGTACTTAACTTCTTCAGAACACCCTGGAAGGAATCAGGTGACTAATGGCTCTAGATCAGGGATGCTCAAACTGTGGCACACGGGCTTCATTCAGGTAATCCACAGAATGTCTATATTAAATATTCACAATTATCTTTAATTGCGTCTTTTTAAATTCTATTACCAATCTGAATTCTATAGATATAAATGCAATTAAAAATCATACAGCATCTAGCACAGTGCATAACAATTGCTGCAACAGGCAGAAAAATAATTAAGTGGTCCACCTCAGTGATTTTCAAGAGGTCTGTGAGGAAATCGTGGGAACCACTGCTCTAGATATTGGACTTAAAAGCTGGATCTGAACGCAAACTATTTCCAGAGGGTTTTTTTTGGGGGGGGGTTAATAAAAAAGTACTTCCAAGATAAGGAACATAGTAGTTCCTTCCTGAAACTGTATTTTGAGGCACATGCAACAATTACAACCAGATAAACATACTCAAAATAACAACTGAATTGCCTTAGTTAATTCTGCAGTGTTACACCAAAGATGTCTATTACCCCTCCTTGCACTTGATAAACAGCCCCCATTAATTTTTACTGTTTGAAAAGACTCTCACATTGATTTTGCTTAAAACTGAAATATTTGGGAATTAAAATGTTTATTTATATGCCTTTATTCTGATTTTTGTTGACTTGATCTCTCTCCAATTTGTGAGCCCTGTTGAGCCTTGTTTTTGGTAGGAAATCTAAACCTAAAAACAGAAATCTAAACCTTAAAAAAAACTGTGTTCCCATCACACAGTGTCGATTACACCAATGTAAGTTTCATATTCATCCAGCAGCCTCCTTTAAAGTATTGCATCCAATATGCTAACAGTATAATTATTTGAAAGACAATGATAATTTAGCAGCAAAATGAGAAATGTACTATAATTCCACCCAACACATAGACAAATTTTATAACTACCAACTAATTATTAGCGTGGGCTGTAAAATGACAGTTCACCAGTGCTGACAACATTTCTCTACTTGAAACATTTTAGCATTGCAACATTTCAGCCTTTAATCTTCTGTCATTACTTGAGTTTTCAATGAGGTGCCTTTTCTTCATAGTCAACCTGTATCTCACTAAAAGGAGGCAGCAGTAACCCTAAAAGATTTTTTCACTTTCCTTACAAAGAGCGCAATCCTATACATATCTACCACACACCACAATAATCTGCCAAATTCCCACCCTCACCAGTACTATTACCAAAATTAAACCAAATAGAATTCAATGGGATTTACTCCCAGGCAAGATTGCAGCCTTAAATACTTTAAGCCACTGCTTAGAAGTTGGCTCACAATTCCTCAGAGTAAATGCATTACGGCAACTTGGGAAATATTTTGTGGATCAGCAGCGGGTGCAGTGGGTCCGTTGTTTTTCCCCATAAAGGCATACTATTATCAAGCATCTTAGTGTGGCCAACACTCTCCCCATACAGATACATTTCCACCATAAAACTGTTGAATCGTATCCCATCTACAGTGGTACCTCGGGTTAAGAACTTAATTCGTTCTGGAGGTTTGTTCTTAACCTGAAACTGTTCTTAACCTGAAGCACCACTTTAGCTAATGGGGCCTCCTGCTGCTGCCGCGCCGCCGGAGCACGATTTCTGTTCTCATCCTGAAGCAAAGTTCTTAACCCGAGGTACTATTTCTGGGTTAGCGGAGTCTGTAACCTGAAGCGTCTGTAACCTGAGGTACCACTGTATTTAGTACCACAGTATTTAAGTACCACAGTGGATTTAGTGGAGCCAAACAACTCTTGAAAGGTATAAAGGGAAGTTGTGAAAAATATTGTATAAACTAATATCACCAGCATATTTAGGCAGATAAGAATGATGGGTTTAGAAGGTAACTTATATTTCAGTTCTCAGCCTCAGTTCACTATTTTTAAATTGGGAATAATAATAGTAATCACTACATTATAGGCATATCAGAGGGATGAAATGCTAACTGTATGTATACAGTATTAATTCTATCAATGTTTATTTAATGATAATTTTTTCTAAGTTTTTAGCATTTCTTGTTTTTATCTGTAAGTTGCCTTGAGTCCAGTCAAACAAGAGGCAATGTAATAATAATAATAATAATATTCTCAGAATATAAAGCACTGCATAGATTTTTGTCTCCCCCCTCAGAAGAGTTCAGGTTGGGTCTCAGTAGAGAAACAGAAAGTATTAACACCTTTCCCAAGGTGATTGTGTGACTTACCTGCTAGTTTGGTATTATTTCTGTAATTCTGTATTGTTGTATCGGTCAATTTTAAAACTACACACACCTCACCCTCTACAAGGGTGCTTATTAAAAGATCCCAACTACTCATTGTTAGTAAGAATCTGGAATCTGCCCCTTCTCTCCCTCCACATTGGCCAAAGCCATGCAAAGCCCTGAGGCAACTTCCAGGCCCATTCTCTCTGGGATACACTGATTATTGTTTTCTTTGCATTGCTGAACATTTGGGCTTTTGCAAAGGGGCAGGAGGAGCCCCTCTTAAAACAACATTCACTACCCCTCCACCATGCACCACACCTAAGAAAACAAAATGTGGGAAATAATTTAGAAAGCATCTTGGCAAGGGTTCTGGTTCAGACAAAAATAACAGCAGGAACAACATTTAATTGTTCTTCCCCCCTCCTCTTCCTGCCTTTTTTGTGTGGGGGGTTGTTGTTCTTGTTTGTACTGAAAATGCTACTTAACACATTCTGATATGTGCTAATGAGGGAGCAGGAGAAGAAAGAGGCAACGGAGTTGTCTGCAGAAAATGAACAAAGGGGAACCTGCAAAGGGAAGCCTTAAAAATAAACAAAACACAGCAATATTGGGTTTGGCATCAAAGGATATGAGCTGCTGGAAGAGAAAATGGCAGATTTTCAAGTCTCCTTTTTTAAAAAAGGGCCACACTTTTTAACAACAACAACAAAAGTGGTGCGGGTACTGCCTACCCATGAGAAGCTCCTGGAAAAAAGCACTGCCATTAAACACAAAATGTCTCTTGGACTCCAGTCATTAACACACTTACTTGAGAATAAGCAACATTAAGATCTGTGGCTACTGCAGATTTCACCGCAAAATTCCTTGCGTCAAATAGGCATCCAGTTTCAATGAACTGGAATTATCAGGGGAAGTTACTTCCCCTTTTTTCTTAACCTGTAAATTTACACAGGTAAAAGTTAATAGGTACTCATAATCCCCACTCATTTTCATGGGGAAATTAAATCATCTCACCCATTAATAGCAATGGGATTTGTCAGTTTGGACAGATTAGATAGAAAAGTTGCCAGCATATTCACACATTTGGCAAAGGTATTAATTGACAAGAAAAGATGTGTTACCTATTGTCAGATACTGACTTTTTGGGGGTCTCTTTTCATTGGCTGCTGCAAGGAGTCCTCCATAAGTGCTTCCAAAGATAGCTATCAATGGTTATGATAACGTCCTTATTTCATAGCTTTATTATTTACTTTATAGTTATTTTATCCTTCGTTGTATTGCTTCTTTATCCTTGATTCTGCCTTTTATTTGCTGTGTTTCATATACATAATATTTGCAATATTTCTACTTGCAAATTAGATTTCTTGAGTTCATCTGAAATTTCGCTGTGGCTTTCTTTTGCTACGAACAATCAAAATTTGACCTGACCTGACCTGAATTGAGCTACATTAACTGGAGCAATTTACTCCGGATTTCCACTGACAAAACGGAACCAGCACCAGCTTGGTCCATTGTACATAGTTCTCAAACTTAGGAGAGTAGGCTTCTTGCTTGTCTGCTTCACCAAGCCTAGGGGAGTTGAGAGAAGCTGCCAAGTTATGTATTAAAAATGTCTTTTTTCCTTGCCACTCTTGGTATGATTAACACAAAATAAAAATTATCAGTTATAACTGATAATAACATTATTATTTTTTCTAGGTCCACTAGCACATCTGAAAACAAACAAACAAACAAACAAACAAACAAACCTAGTTTTAAAACAGAAAGAGAGTCATGTAGGACATAATTTTTTATTCTGAAATGATCTCTGGCCACAACAATAAATGTAACAAACATTCACTAAAACAGTCTTAACTCCTGTCATCAGCTATACAATACGTAAGTATTATAAAACTGGCCACTAGAATTAAAACCCACTACAACATATTTAATGTGAAGTGGCTGTTGACAGCAGCAGCATCTCACATAAATTTTTACATACATATATACACAATCCACATTCAGTCATTTTTTTTCACATGTTTTCAGTACACACAGTTGCAGCATCTTACAGTCACGTGTCTAAGTTGTTGCTCTTTATTTTTCAGGAAAAAGAAATCCAATGTACACCTTAGACGTAATTGTAGCAGTTGAGCTGAGTAAATACGATGACTTTTTTCATATTACTTTGTATTTTGTAGCACAGATGTACAAGCCCCCTAGAAACAATGTTAATTCACAAATGCTTTCTTTATTTCAATGCTACTGTAGCATCTCAAGTGGGCAATGCAAAAATATTTACTTACATAAAAATCTTTCTTAAAACGGATATATGTTTACCAGCTACCTCTGTTTGGAAAACCAAAGATTTTTATGAAAAATAGACAGAATCGAAGAACTCCGACATGTGCCTAAAGATTATAACGCAGCCCGTTGCTACTTTAATAAACACAACCCTCCCACAATTGTTGCTGTCCAGCCTCCATTCATTTCAATGGCACTTCCACACGGTTTCACACAAGTCCCATTCTAATAAATGGAGGCTGCCTGATGGTAGCCATAAAGCGCCATTTAAAAAAGAAAAAAAACATTCCTAAGGAGTCCTTCATGACCCCAAACCACCCAGCAAGGTAAAAGGGGCATTAAAATGCCTTGCACCCAAATTGTAAAAACCCCTGGCCACGTTTATTGGAGCCAGGCACGTAGAAAAGGAATGCACTTTGGTTCATACCAAATGCCCTGGGATTAATTCTCACTATAAAATGAAACAGTTTGAGGTAATTTTTTTTCCTTTTTACAAATACAGTTGATTCTGCCTAGTGCTGTCATAACAAAACAAAGAAAAACATAGTTCTTAAAAGAAAAGAAACCAGTCTGATGTTAAGGTTACCGCTAACTACTATGAGGTGCCATCTTTAACCCTTGAAAGAGCATGAAAATTCCTACAAGAGAGTATTCCGTTCCATCACTAAGTAGTAGGATTGCCTTATGATCTATATTAAGGCTTTGAAAACACAGGGCAAAATCAGCCAGAAACTTCTCCTGCTCATGTCCAATGGATATAACCGAGGGTTGCCCCCAAAAGGACCCTGGAGTGCTCTTGCAGAACTGCCCTTCGTTTCACCGGGGCGTATGCAACAGCGGGAGAGGCTCCTAGTGGATTATGCTCATGGAAACGTATTTAAGACAGGTACCGTGCTTTTTAAAAAAATAAGATTTCAACCTTACTACATAGTACAGCGTTCAAAGGGTTAAAGAGACAACGTTGCATGCTCCACAACATGGTGTTGTTCGTAACAAAAGGCACATTGTTAACATCAAGGGCACAATTTCAACCCTCTACATATCTTGCACTCCTCTCGCTCCCCCAGCCCATCCTCCCGGTTGCATCGACACACTGGAGAAGGGATTGGCCAGCACTCCAGCGGTGCAAGAGCCGGCCGAAATGAGACTGCAGCCAAACACAAGACAACACCGTGCTATTTCTACTTTTGCAAAGGAGCTCAGATGTCCCCAGACAATGGCAACATGTGAGGCTAAGCAATGTTTCCAAGCCAACAACTATCAGCCCCAACTAATTAGAGCCCTTAGACACAAAACCGTGTCAAAGCAAGAGGCAGCATCCTTTTAAATGTTTTTTTCCCCTCCCTTCCCCTTTCCTCCTTTTCCTTCCCCATTCCAATTATAAACACGCTACAGTAAAAAGAAGCCAAGTTACTGAAAATTGTCAGATGGCTGCCTCTTTTTCTTTTTTGTAACGTATACAGGAGTTTTCGTTACGTTAGCATTGCTCTGCACACTGTTTTTGGCCTAAAAGTTTCTGGTAGCATCTATGAATATGATCAGCCACAAATGCACTATTGGCATTTAAAATCTGGTCATTTGAAGAAGAAGAAAGATAAAATTAAGGGTTTTAGCTCACGAATCATTTGTGATTATTATGTATCTTTCCTATTTATCCATGTTAACATATTCCAAGCTGTGTTAAAAATATAATGGACATGTCAATTTATTTAATCCAATGAATGGGGGATTTTTTTTGGGGGGGGAAGCAACTTCAGCTCCAAGCAGAGCTTCTTGTACATACAGATGCGCTCCCTGGAATGCAAGGGCTTCCTCGTTCACTTCAATGCAAAATGCCAGACTCCACATATAACCTTTGTGTTTGTGGACTGCCTTAATGTTCACCGTAAGTGAAAGGGAAATGTTGTCCTTTTGGGAGGTCCAAGCCCTAGCAGCCCCAAACAGAATCAAGGTCAGTGCCATGGTGAACAAACCAATCGTCATGGGAAGCTATGGATACAGAGATCCCAAAGTCACTTTTACTGATACACTCACAGACTGCATAGCCACACAATATAGAAAGGTGTACATTTAATATTATAAATAATTTAGTGTCATTTGAGGACAAGGAGTTACATTTGCAAAAAAAGGGGGGGAGATTAAATATTAGCCAATAACTAACATTATTAAACATTATTAATTAGCATCATTTCTTTTAGTCAAGATTTACTTATGGAAGGGATGGGGGTTGGGTGGGTGTTCATTATTATTATTATTTTGGCAAGTAGTTTTATTATGTTTCCTGAGAATTCGTCATTGATGCCCATTAACCAAACTTTAAGTGAACGAAAAAATGCTGCTTTCATTTTCTAAATGAATGATCTGAATTTCGAAAAAAGGAAATGGACCGGAAACTTTCTTGGCTTTCTCTGGGGACCATGCTTTAAGTAGTTATTTTAAGGACATCTTTACAGGTATTGTAATTAGATCTGTGCATATAAACAACGTTATAATGTTGAAGCTTTCTGCAATCAAACCAAATAATTCTAGCATCCACAACCCTCTCAATTTAAGCTTGAAACTCTTCAAATATCATTATCAATGCATGCGCGATAAATGTTGTTAAAACCAATGTTGTGCCTGCTTTGGGAAACTAAACTTATAATGCAGAACAAATTTTATCTGAATTATATTATGTTCAATTGCTACTTGCCAGGGAGAAATCTTAACCTGGTGCCAGGTCCTGGCTCTTGGCTCTCCTCTCCCATAAGGAGAAAGCAAGGGGAAACATGGGCTTTACAACATTTATTTTAACTTGGTACTCTCTGACCACCTGATAAAAAAATGTATTTCTTGGACAGAAGAAATATGTGAACAAGTCCAAGGTGTCTGAAATAGACCGGGTTAACCTATCACTGCGATAAGAATGCGAATATACAGAAAAATTCACATATATGTCTACTCGTTCCTTCAAACTTTTCTTTAGCTCTCATGGTGCAACACAAAACCGTAATTGTCTTTTAATTTTTCTCCCCTTACAAGCTTTTGGAGTATACCAGGGTTACAAAGCGCATCCTACACGGAGTCTGTTTTTAAAAGTCATCTCACCTCTTAATTTGCTCTTTATAATTATTTTTTTAAAAAAAACAATCACATGTACTCGTTTCAACAAGGCTTTTGACAAATCTGAATGATCCTCTACGAAGGGCATGAGAAGAATAGATGCAACTCCACAGGTTAGTAGAAGTCTCACAGACATCCCCTTAAATATTCAAGTAGTATCTCCAGGTATCGGTGGCAGTGCTACACAATGCAACTGTTGCATGAAATACTGGTGTTACAAAGGCATTTTTAGCACAAAATGCATAGGATGCCCCCCAAAAAAGAACAAACATGCATGTGAGTGCATGTTTAAACACTCCAGTACACACATCTGGGAAACCTGATATGCATACACAGGTGTGTAAAGATGTATCCTACAACAATTGTAACACACAGCACAGCGCCAATTGTTAGATAGTATATTGCTTTTTAGAGTGACATTTTAAAAACCCAAATGCAGATTACATCAAAAGCTAAATAATGTCAGCCTCAGAAGGCTGTTTTGATCTAAAGGTACGATGGTCTGTGAGGCAAGGGGCGCTACCCACCAGGATGTTCTCTTGTGCAAGCCCCATTATAATGCTCTTGCACAGATTATAGGGGAGAATTTCCTGGCAGATTGGGCCTGAAGACTAATCTGGTGAGATGTTTTTAAGCATGGGCTAGGTAGCCACCTGACAGGGATGCTGTAGCAGCACATTTCCTAATGAGCAGAGGGTTGGGCTGGATGACTTTTTAGGTTGCCTCAATACTTCACCCGTCCCCAATCCCTTTTGCTACCATGCTAAGCCAAGCCAAGGTATGGCTTAACCGTGAGCCCCAGTTTGACCAACACACTACTTATTGTGGTAGCAAAAAGGATTGGGGAGGAGCGAAGTGGCTGTGAGCTTCTCTCCAGATGCTTGTTAAGCTCATAGGTAAAGGTAAAGGGACCCCTGACCATTAGGTCCATTCGCGGCCGACTCTGGGATTGCGGCGCTCATCTCGCTTTATTGGCCAAGGGAGCCGGCGTACAGCTTCCGGGTCATGTGGCCAGCATGACTAAGCCGCTTCTGGCAAACCAGAGCAGCGCACGGAAACTCAGTTTACCTTCCCGCCGGAGCGGTACCTATTTATCTACTTGCACTCTGACATGCTTTCAAACTACTAGGTTGGCAGGAGCAGGGACCAAGCAATGGCAGCTCACCCCGTCGCGGGGATTCGAACCACCGACCTTCTGATCGGCAAGTCCTAGGCTCTGTGGTTTAACCCACAGCGCCACCCACGTCCCTGTTAAGCTCATACCATCTTGCTAAACCAAGGTTTGGCTTAGTGTGTCATGTGAACCCGGCCTATGACAGTCTTGGGGTGGGGAAGTGAACTTTGTAGAAACATCTGGAGAATACCTAGATGATGGGAAAACGGCTAAGTGATTTTAAAGAAGCAAAAGTGTATGGGGGGGTAGAATACAAATGTGCATGTCATGGGTTCTGAATGCTTAAAATTCTGCATAAATTATTGTGATTTGCATGACTTTGCCTTTAGAAATGACATCAAATTTTAGAGTTCACATCTTCACCTTCCTGCTTTTTAAAAAAAATACATATGACCTAACATTCTAGTATGGGTGCTAGTTCATTTCTGAAGAACATTTTAATCATATTTAAGGATGCTTATACAAATAATAATAATAAATGCTTCTGCTGATTTGAGGGAGACCTATTAGGAGAGGGCTTGGTGAACCAGGCAATTGTGCATTGCACAAATGTTATCTGCCTACCCGTGCACACGTGTGGTGTTGGTACTGCACTAGTCCTGAGCCAAACCTTTGGAGTTTTAGCGCGCCTGATAATCTTGCCAAGCCAATAAATTGGGCCTGAACCCATGCTCAGCAAGATAAATAATCCAGTATGACTGCATTGTTTATGGAGAATGCATTCCAACACAGTTTGCCCATCCCCTTTCATATTCAAATTTAGCAAGCCACTTTTAGAAATCAGTGGGGCAGAACTGAAGGGGGGGGGAAGCGCAGGTGTATATCACCATATGGGGCCCCCATCCTAAAGCTAAATTACGTTTGTGCCTAATTTGATACAGCCCAGTGGTTCAGGGGTGGTGTTTCCCAACCCCCATTAGCCACAGCCGACCTAGATGATGAGCATTTCAGCCCAACAACATCTGGGAGAGGCACCGCATTGGCTACTCCTGCAGTAGTTATTCACAGCCTATTAAAAGTGTAGCGCGTGTAAAAATGAATGCTAGTTATCCATCCAGAGGTTGCCTTAGGAATTGCACAGTACAGAACGTGGTGGAAAGAAGAGAGTGCCTCCTATCATCTTGGCTGCCTCTATCAAAAAGACCTAACAGCTTGGAAATGGGAGTCAGAAGGAATAGCCAAGGCTATTCGAGGTACCAAACCGACAAGTTTTCTGGGTAACACAGAGGCTGTACAGGCTGACGCAGGAGCCAGCTGCTGAAACTGTTAAACTCTGTCTATTCCCACAGTATAAAGGAAGCTGGAATGGCAGTACAGGTCTACTCTAGGATCCATAGCATTCAGAGAAGCCCTGAACACCTGACAGGGAACAGCCAATTGAGATCTGGGGTAAGCAAGGCGCTGCTGTGAACGCGCCTGATGGAAGCCCTCTACGGATGCAACTTTTTCACTGTTATACAATAAATATTTATAAGTATAATGTAGAAATCTGTTCACTATCCATAATTATGGATACAAATTCTTAAAAAGAGTCATACAGAGTGTCTGACTTGTACCCCTGAATGTTTTCTGTATCGTCAAACAAAAATGCAGGTAAATGTTTGCAGGACTGGAATCTACTGCTATAACAAAAACCAGGAATAAGAAAGTATTAAAAGTTCACTCCAAGAAATGCCGGTATCAACTATGGGGTGGGAGAGGGACCTAGACCCTGCTCTCCATCAAACTATAATGTATGATGGTTAGGTTGCAACCAGTGGCCTGCCACTGAGACTTATTGTGCCACACTAATATTCCATAGTAAGGCTAACTGTAGTTTAGAAGAAAAAACATTTTTAAAAAAGTATAAAAACTTAAAGCATTGTCCCCATGTTATTTTTATATATATATAAAATCAAAACCAACTTTTCTTACACATTTAAAGTGAGTGCTGAAAAAATACAAATGTTTGAAGTTACCGAGCAAATAAAAATAGAAATCTGAGCTACTTTTTCATATGAGTAAGGCTCAGTGACATAATGTTTTTTGTTTTTGTTTTTATCAGCATCAGATTATTCAAACTCAGCTAACAAGTTTTGGCAACACTGTCCTTTGCTGAATATTCCCATTGGCATCAGTCATCTGTGCCAGATTAGTTCTCAGTTTTGATGCCGAGTTTGAAGTAGGAGGTAACTTGGAAATTGACGTGATAGCACCAGTGCTTTCTGCTATTCTTTTCGCTGATGTCTTCTCCCCAGTTGGAGGCTTTGGCAAACGTCTCCTTAGCCAGGGATGCCGCAAAGCCTGACCAGGCGTCATGCGCAAAGTAGGATCCCACTCTAAACACTGTTTCAAGAAGTCAAGGAAGAGAGGGTCGTCGCATCCCTTCAATGCGCTCCCCCACTCTCTGCTCTCTGGGGGGCCGCGCAATTTGCCCCGCCGGGAACGGCCACCGTTGAGCACCACAGAACCATCGGACAAGGTAGTAATGGTACAGTATCGGGGGTAACCCTTAGAACTCACAAAATTTTTTGCTCTTTTGGATGAATCCAGCAATTTCTGAGAAGGCATCCCCAGCAGTTCTATCATACAAGCCAGCTGATCCGCCTCATCCTCCCCTGGTAAGAGGGGATAGCCTGTTAGGAGCTCAGCTAGAATGCAGCCTAGGCTCCACATGTCTATGGGCATCCCATAACGAGCACCGAGGATAACTTCTGGAGCGCGGTAGAAACGTGACTGGATGTAAGTGTAGACACGCTGGTGCTCGTAACAGCTAGAGCCAAAATCAATCACCTTAATGCCACTCCTACCCTGTTGCTTCAACAGAATGTTCTCTGGTTTAAGGTCACAGTGAATTATTCTGTTTTTGTGCAAAGCATCTAAGCACTGCAAAATCGAGTGGGCAAACTTGCGGACCAAGGGCAGGCTGAAGCCCTGAAATTTGTTTTTCTTGATGAGCTCGTAAAGGTTCATGCTCAGCAACTCAAACGTCATACAGATATGGTTGCGGAATGTGAAGTTTTCCAGCATGTGGATCACGTTCATGTTGTTATCCTTGTCCTGCTTTTTAAGGTGTTCCAGGATTCTGATTTCTTCTGCAGCTTGACGGTGGAAACGCTTCTCGTTCCTCACCATCTTCAGGGCCACATGCTGATGCATCTTGTGATCGTAGGCCTTCACCACTTGCCCAAAACTTCCTTTCCCAATAACCTTCAGAACCTCGTATCTGTAGGACACATGGTCATGAGGAACTTGCACGTAAGATCCCTGGTCGTCATCATATCCCCCGTTGTTTGGACCACCAACTACACCTTGCCTCTTTTTCGCATTTGGACCCACAAAATATATTTCAGGGTAGCTGAAGATCTCGTGATGTTCAAAGGTTGTTAGTTTTTGCATGTATTGCTTCATTGCTTGATCTGGCATCATGGGGGAGGCTTTCACCTTCCCTGGCCCTTCTGTAGACTTCAAAGAGCTGGAGCTCCCCTGCCGCCTATGAGCACTGTCCAGTTGTCTGTCTGGCACCACCGGCAATCCCGACTTCGCTACTGTTGTAAGCCCATTTGGTTGTGTCGTCAGAACGGTCCTTTTGTTGCTGTTGTCTTCAAACAGCTGCTGAACCTGGATCTGCCCATGACTGGCAACATGTAGGTGCTCATTCATTGTGTGCTTATTTCCACCAACCTGAAATATAAAGCATATTTTTCCAGTTAAAAAACACACCCACAGGCTTCCTAAACAATATAAAAGATTGATGGAATAGCGCTTTTCAAAAAACGTGTGGCTGACTTGTCCACCCAAAGTCCCTATACCCAAAGTCTCGTACATTTAAACCACTGGAATTGATCAAGGCTACTGGTAGACAGAATGCCACCCGAGGGACTCGCTCTCTCATTGAAGGAAAGGTGGTAATTTTAAATTATCTATCCACCCTTCCATCTGCAACCCCTTGAAAATGTTCTCTATTGAGTCAGTGGACCCTCCAGAACAATGTAGGCTGTTTTGCAGGAAGAGAAATTCACAAAAATCGTCTTCTCCCACTTTCCTCCAATGAGAACCTCAACTGGATCAATCCCTTCTGTTAAAGGAAGGGGGTCTGGATCCAACCCATAGGGTTCTCAAAATACCCACTGGCTTCATCATCTACCCCAGAAACTGTGCATGCTTACACCTATTTGAACTCCTGAAGTCACATTGTCATTTATTCATATAACATCTTTTATGTCTAATCCTAATTCTTCAATGTAACATTTCTGGAGCAGCTTCATATAAAAATAACAATAATAATAATACATTAAAAATCTGTCTCTAGTGCTCATTATTTTACAGCCTCCTGTACACATTTTTGGCAGTTCAGCATACTTCACAATCTGGAGGGGCTACTGCTTCCCACAATGCCAAAATTACTTTAAAAGAGAAAAAGAAAATAAAACTGTCTTTCAAAAGAGATAAAGAGCAACTTCTGTAGATAGAGGAGTGTAAGTTTTTTGGCTGCTGTCCTATGTGTTTTTGAAACAGAGGATTCAAAGACCCAAACTTTTGTTAGCCAAACCCCTACCCTAAGGGAGAATTCCCCATGTACCTGCCACCTTTGCACCACAAATCAACACGTTGCAGAGAAACAACAGCATATAAATGTGGAGGACTGAGGGAATCCAACAGCTTTGTGTCACAGCATATTGTCAGGTTTCCAGGTAATGCCCCGTTTCCTATCAGTGAGTGTCTTCAGGAGCAGCAAAATATCAGAAAGCCTCTGATATCAGGGCAACATTATTTTGCCATCCTGACTTTAAGGATACCCTGTGATTTTGAACACCTCAGTTAGGAAGAACCTTGATTGTTCCAAAAAGCTGGGGAAATTGCAATAGCAGTAACATTTCCGAATGTGCTCAAACTACCATGGAAAGCAGAGAATCAAATGTGACTTGAATCCATAGAGGTTGTATGGCATCCCACAAGGCATGAGCTATGGCCTGACAACTAGTGCATTACCATGCTAATTATATACATCTGAAAAATATAGTCATGACTCTCTGGCTTAAGAAATTAGTTGTGACCCTCAAACAAGCAGCAGCAGCAGCAGCAGCAGCTGACAGGGCTGTGCAGGAGAGGCTATATTGCTCTCTTCCCTTCCGAACACCATGCATTGCTGAAGGGAGGGAGAGGAGACAAGGCAATGAGGAGATCAGCACAGTGTGGGCCGATGCTACTGATACTGCACCTACAGTGCACTCCCTGCTGCCTTGCCCTTTTTCCTCTCTGCAACTGGCAGTCACGCCCTGTGTTGGGAAGCAAGGAGGGCAAGGCAGCCCCACCCACGCAGTCCTGCCGGCCACTTCCACATGTACATGTAGAGGCCAAACTACCGTGGTCCCTCACTACTTACAGCACAAATGTCAAGGGCCATTTCAGTCCCATTTATGCTTGCAGAACTTCTGCTGCTACTGTAGTTGAAGGATCTTTCTCAAACAGTAGCGCAGTACAGTGGACGCTCGGGTTGCGAACGTGATCCGTGCGGGATGCACGTTCGCAACCCGCAGTGGCGCGTCTGTGCACATGCAGGTTGCGATTCAACGCTTCTGCGCATGTGCAAAGCGTGATCTAGTGCTTCTGCGCATGCGCGACCGCCAAAACCCAGAAGTAACCCGTTCTGGTACTTCCTGGTTTCAGCAGTCCGTAACCCGAAAAAACGCAACCTGAAGTGTCTGTAACCCGAGGTATGACTGTACATGCCACAACAAAGGAAGATAACTTGGATGATGCCATTCTCACTCGCATCCAAAGTCCACCCATCTGGTAGTGTTCATGTTTCTTTTTTTCTTTTCCTTTTTTAAAAATGAAAATAGTATTGTCCTCATAGACACACATTCAACAAGTCCATTTAGCACAAGCACAAAGCCACAAAACTACAACATTAAGTGTTGTAAACCCTGGGTTGGAAAATATCCTGTGATCTATTTGTTCAAATCTTTGGCAACATTTGCCTCTGCAATGGTGTTTTGGGGTGGGGAAAAGGATACAAGTGAGAAAGAGTTGTGTGTGAAAGAGGAGTGACCTTTTGTTTGTTTTACATCAATTTCCTAGAAACTTGTTTGGCTATAAGATTGCTGTGTTGGTCACTGAGAACGAGTCAGAATCAATAAGGATATGCCTTTTATGGAACCACTACCAGTTTATCAGATCTATTTAGGTTCCTTCTTCCTGAGTCCTATAAGAACACACTGAAATTTACATTACTCTGTTCCTAGCTGGCTTGTTGCCAAACAATATCCTACTATTTAGGAATAATAATAGGTAAAGGTAAAAGGTAAAGGACCCCTGGACAGTTAAGTCCAGTCAAAGGCGACTATGGCGTTGCAGCACTCATCTTGCTTTTTAAGCCGAGGGAGCCGGCATTTGTCCACAGACAGCTTTCCGGGTCATGTGGCCAGCATGACAGAAGCCAGAGCGCATGGAAACACTGTTTACCTTCCCTCCGCAGCAGTACCTATTTATCTACTTGCACTGGCATGCTTTCGAACTGCTAGGTTGGCAGAAGCTGGGATAATAGCACAATGGTGATATGCAGATGAACCACCTCTGCCAAAACACTCGTTTTCAGCCATTTCTGCAGAAAGAATAGTCCAGCTGTATCCAGAACCTATAGTTCAAAATGCGACCTCTCATAAATATCAGATTGTTCACTGGGGACAAAAACGGGTAGCATCTGATTAGTTTTTGATTAGCGCAACCAAAGAGTTTCACCCCAAGAGCAAACACCCTTTTTCTCTCTCACATGCCCACACACAGAGACACACCATTCTTCCCTTTTCTCACACACGTGCTCATCCAGTTGCAAAGCTTTTCAGTAAAGGAAGCTCTTCTAGGAAGGCAATGGATGTGTGCACATGTAACACTGTACTATCCATCCCATTCTCCTTCTACAACCACCCTCCCAGGAAGCATTTTGGAATCTGATTCTAATTGAATACCTTTAAAAAAAAATTTCCTTGAGTGACACATTCAGCGGGGATACAGTCTGAGACAATCACCGAAACAGCAGTGGGGCTCCATTAATGAGGACCAGGATAAGTTGTGGGGAACCACATAAAAATGGTGAGGCCTGGAGAATAATGCCTTCAGCATGCAGCATCGTACTCTAAAATCCAGATTATTCTTGATTGAAGGCATGGGTGATCTTATCCCAAACTCTCCAGACAGAACGAACGCTAAACATGGACACCCTGTGACATCTTCTCCAGTCTCAACAAAAAGAGTACATCTAAAGTGCACCACTTAGTTTCAGGTCTCATAACCACTCCAGCATAGCAGCCCTGTTTGGTCTTTACAGATGTATCCATGTCAGTGTCACGCGCAATACCCTATATATCAGGGGTAGGCAACCTAAGGCCCGGATGCAGCCTAATCACCTTCTCAATCCGGCCCACAGACAGTCCGGGAATCAGTGTGTTTTTACATGAGTAGAATGTGTGCTTTTATTTAAAATGCATCTCTGGATTATTTGTGAGGCATAGGAATTGATTCATTTCCCCCCCAAAAATATACTCCAGCCCACCAAATGCTCTGAGGGACAGTGGACCGGCCCACGGCTGAAAAAGGTTGCTGACCCCTGCTATATATACTAACTTCTACTGATTAGTATACTCATAGAAGCAGTCATTTGACTTGTTCTTGCGCTTACAGCTCATGGGTTGTCTGGAGGAAACCATGAGCCTGGGTTCAGATGGCACACTAAGACAAACCATGGTTGAGCTCTGGATAGCACAGCAGCAGGAGGAGGACTTGGGGCAGAATGCAGCCGCCGCCACAGAATCTCTTCTCTGTTACCTATGAACAAGTTCAATGGCAGATGGCCATGACATACAGGATTCTTGTAGGCTGCTCTGAGCGGCACTTGGCCAAGGCTCTCAAAAGGTGTGACAATCCACACACGTGCAACTTGTCATTGGCACACAACACTTCTTCTATATGTGGCAACTAGAAATCAGCACGAGCAGCCACACTCATATTTCAGCTGGTCATGAAAACGAGCTTTAAGTTGCATTCCCCCGTGATTCTGTTGTGCTCAGTCTTGGATATAAATGAAATAAATTCAACTAGCCTATCCCCACTCTAGCTGATGTTACCATAGGACTGGAAAAACATTAGTGTAACTGTAAGCAACACTCTTAAAATCACATACTCTGTGGTATGCTCCCCTTTAACTCCAGTTGAATGGAGTAAACGATTTCTAAATCATTTCTAAACTCAGCCTATCTGTGAAGTTAAACTTGGTGATGTATAGGGTTGTATGTTGGTCTGAATTTTATTGGATTTTGGTGTGTATTTTGATTGTATTATGTTTATTACATGTTTTCAATTGCTTAATTGTGCATCATCTAGAGAACCCACGTCATTAAGTAACCAACAAAATATAATAATATCTGCTTACAGAAATAGCAGCCCTAGCCTGAGTCCTGTTCAATCATTCAGATATCTGTGTATATTCAACATATGGAGCATACTCTGCTGTTCCTGGCTCTGACCTCAGAGGTTTGAACTGAGTCAATGTGTATACAGAACGTACATACACAGGTAGTCTACACACTATCACGAACACTTCAAAAAAGCAAGGAACCCAATTATGCAGAAATGGCTTCATAATTCACTCACTCCCCTGAAAT